CCCCCGCTGGGGCCGGCCCCCCAGCCCCCGCCCGGGCCCGGCACTCGCACTAACTTGCCTGGCCCTTCCCAGATGGAGAAGCCAAGCCCCGCCCTGACACCGGAAAGCTCCGCCCATCAGCACGGCACAGTTACCCTGCAGCAAGGGGCACCAGCAGTTGGACCACAGCGTCTGCGAGTCGGCTTCAATCTTCCTCCCGGCAGCCTCCAGGTGGCGCTGCTCCTCCGCCCAGGAGCTGTAGATGGCGGCGGCCCGCGTGTGCAGGGTGTGCATCAGGTCCAGCAGCTGCAGGGAAAAGCATCCAGCTCAGGGGTGTGTTCCCCACCCCCGGCACAGCCCAGGCACCGAGCCCGGCCTGGGGCAGCAGCATTGCCCTGGGTCCGGGGAAGGACGGGCCGTTTGGAGGCACGCGGGGTGGGACCCGTCCCTCAGGGGAGGGAGAGCGAAGGGGGTTCAGAGCAGCGGCGCTGACTAGACAGCTTGGTCTTTTCAGCACAGGGCCTGTATCTGGGCGCCTGCTCAGGGCCGAATGGCTGAGCAGCAAGACGCCCCACGGCGCCGCCCAGGCCTTGCTCACCGTCTGGAGGGAGAACCGTTTCCAGGCCCCGGTGACTCCCCTGCCCTTCCGAGACCCCCAAACTGCACCCACAACTCCACGGCCCTGCCCAGAAGTGCCCGAACCCCACCTGCCCCAGACACCCCACTGACCCTCCCACCCCTCGCTGCCATGTCCCAAAGCCCCATCTTCACCCTCCGCGACTCCCCCGGCTCCAGACAGCCTTCACCCCCCAGCGCACAGGCACCTCCCGACTCTCTGCAGCCCCCCAGGCCTGTCGGACGGACCCCCGGGCAGTGCCCCCGGCTGGCCAGGGCGCCCGAGCGGGAAAGGAGGAGGAAGCCGTGCTGTACTTACATCCTGACTAACCTGTAAAGACACCGTGTGGTAGCTGGCAGGGACGCTCTCGTCCTCCTCCTCGTCGCTGGGGGAATGGCTCTGGTGCTGGCTTGCGGCCCGCGAGCGCCTCTCTTTGGGCTTCTTCTTGAACCGGCCGGATTTGCCCTCGTACTTATGGCTCTTGGCCCGCTTCTCCTGGGACTTGTACCCTAGGGACAGCGGGGCGGTAAAGCACCACGGACGTGCGCCGGCCTGGCAGCCCTTCGCATTCTACCTGCTCGCCACCGTGCACAGCGGGGTGGGCCGTAACTTTTGGTGGGGCCGCACTCTTCCAGGATACGAATGGAGGAATTCCGGGGGCTGGGAGGAGGTGGGGTGCAGAAGGGCGCTTGGGGGAAGGGTCTGGGCTGCAGGAGGGAGACTGGAGTCTGGGAGGGAGCTGGGATGAAGCAGGCGGCTGTGACCGAGGGCAGGGGTCAGGAGGGCAGGGGTTCGGGATGTGATCTGGGGCAGGGGATTGGGGTGCCAGATCTGGGAGGGGGTAGGGGTGCAGGAGGGGGCAGAGGGTTGGGGAAGGGAGGGGCTGGGGTGCCAGAGGCAGGCTCTGGCTGGGAGGCACTTACCAGCAGAAACCTGAGGCAGACTGTCTGCTGCAGGCTGGTCTGCGGTGCTCTGCTCTTGGGCTGAGAGGAGGAGGGGGG